ACCCATGACTGGAGCACAAACATTCGTACTCATCACACAAATTAATGTCCCCAGCGTGACTCGAACCGGGACCGCTGGCACAGCAAGTAGGGTCACTACAAACTGACCCAAACTGTCGTCAAAAAGAAAGCATAGCTAAAAGACGAAGATACTCAATTTAGATGTATGTTATTTATGTATATATTATTTTCTCTTCATCTCTCTGTTATCTAATATTCAGAGACCTTTTTTTACTAATTAATTTATACGTCAAGTCTCTAGTTTCGTTTAGAGAAAAAAAAATCATATCTAAGTATGGAATAATATCTTTTAAATTGATTTTTAAATCAGTATACTTTTATAATTTCGTTCCAATCGTCTCAACCTACGTACTACAACACAAAGACTCCTATTTAGCGGTCTGGCCTAAACAGATATATACAGGTGAAATCGCAGCAACTACTTAGATCTAAAAGCTAGACTTAAATACACGCTAAAGCAAAATGACAACATAAATCTACCAGACCATAGACCAATTTAGTATATAACTCCGTACAAAACAAAACAATACAGGCAAGACAACGGATGTCTTATTTAAATATTATGTTAATAAACTTACCCCCTAAAAGCCCCCACCCGGGGGGTTTAATTAAATCTCTCTTAGAAAAGACGACTCGGTATTTTCTTTGTGTCAGGTGACAGTGGATATTTTAGCCTTTGATGTAAGATGTTTGTTTTATAAGGCGGAATATACAATGTAGTTACTTGACAATGAGACCAGAGCTTCTCAAGCCTATATGAGGCTTTAGTTTATATGAAACTGAAATTGGTTAGCATAAGTTATGTAAAGTATTGTAGATTAATTATTTTGTAAAGGATATTTATTGTGCTGCCACTAAATTAACGAAAAAATAACACCTTATGTTTGTTACAAATATGTACGTACTATTGATGAGATTCAAAAACTAATTACAAAGAATTTTATATTGCTATTAGTTATTGAGTGAATAATACTTGTAACTTACCCGGCTTCGGCGGGGTGCTTACTTTAATTTTTATTTCCATTATAAAAAAATCTGTTTATAGACAATAAACAAATCAATTTTATAATTGATGGTTAAAAGTTGTACATATATTTTTTTATTATTTTTATGGCAGGTCTCGGAACAGGTTTAAAAATAAACGTTTTATTTCGGTAATGTAACGGTTAACTCATCGCTCGTTCTTTAACCGGTTAATGGAAACTAACGGTTTAGTAAACCGAAATAATTATGGTTAATGTTTATTCTTATATAAATGTTGGATTTTTATTCCTTATTTATTATTAATTATTTATTATTGGATGTTTATTCTTATATAATTTTCGGATTACGATTGGCAAAGACGTGCCAAATGTAAATATAATTAGAATAAATAATTTTGTTCATGGAACCTAAATTCGTCAAAAACCGTTCTGCCGGATTTAATCGGTTAAATAACGTAACCGAAACCTTAAACCGAAAAGCCTTTCGGTTTGGGGTCAATGACCAAAATCGGTTTAAAAATTGAACGGGTTTCCGAGCACTGTTTAATACATATCGATACACCTTCGTCAAACTGCAATGTGGCCGATTTCATTTTCTTAAATAAATGCTTCAATAAAGTTAAGTTTAAGGTACGTTCTGAGTCTTTTCTTAACGTCCCACTGCTGGGTACAAGCCGTCCATCAATACGAGAGCGATCAGGCCATAGTCCACCACGCTGGCCAAGTGCGGGTTGGCGGACTTTAGATGTCTTTCGAAAACTTGCTAGGTTCTCAGTCCTGCAGGTTTCCTCACTATGTTTTCCTTCACCGTAAAATAATTGGTAAGCGGGTTGAAAAAGATACTATTCGCAGGTGGGAGACCCGGGATTTGAAGTCGCTTTACTCGGCTTCCCAAGCATGCACGCTACCACTGGGCTACCACTGCCTTAAGTTTAAGGTAAAACGGACAAAAAGGTCCTTTGACACTTTAATGTGCGCATGTACATACTTTGAGTTCAAACATATCAGTCTGTGAAGTGCATCATTCGTCTAAAAGCTTATTAATATTAAATAGGTTTAATTGCAAAAAGAAGACCTTAGTACTTTGTTTACTCTTATTTGATATTATATACAATAATCATAAGTTAAAACATTTAATAAAATTCTGAGTCGAATCTGTACGTAACATACTTTTTGGAAAATCTTATTGAAATAGTCATTATTACTGTTTCGGACGACCAGAACCAGGGTATGTCTAGTACCCGGAGGTCGACCTGGGACAATCTCCCAGACGTTCTTGGCGTACACGGCAGTATGTCCGTTCGCTGGTAATGTACGCCACCACGCACCCCTGAATGCGTAGCTTGGGTCCCGATCCACTAGGGTTTCTTCGTTGACAGGAGACTATACTTAGAGGCGATGAAATAGAACACAATTTTTCCTTTTTTCTCTCTTGGTTTCGGTTCTTCCTTTTCCTTTTAGTTGTTGCCTCTTCGGTGGCTGTCTTGCGACTGACTCGAATCGAGAAATGGCTCGCCTTTTATTTGGCCCGTTAATACCTTACAGAGAGCCGCGTACTTTGAGCTCATTTTTCGAATAAAATTTCCCTAAACCGAAACCTTGAGAGTCCTTTTATTTTATGTTTTCAGTAAAACACCTTACACATATTTATTTATTTACATGCCTTACATACTATTATACAATATTAAAACATAATATTCAATATATAATAATTAATTAAAAAAGTCTTAAAACAAAAATATCTAAATTTCTAGGTTGCTACATTTTTACTATACATTTTCCCTTATAACTTTTGAACGGATAGTCCTATCGACCTAATTCTTGTTTTATTATAAGTTTTATAATAAAATCTATTATTTAAAACATAAACTATTATGCTATTGCAAGAAACAAAAAATCTCATTTTCAAATTACGTAATTATATGCTAACATTTTACTTACGTACCTATTCCTTTCAAATTAATGTTAAATAGTCTTATATGATTCAAATAAGCAAAAAATACTCTAAACTAACCTTATTACACTAATTAGAACTTATTTTAACATAATAAATCTAATAAGAATGAGATTTCATATTTACAACAATTATTCATAATACGCTAAAATGACATTGTCCCTATATTAATACACACGTTACTCGAAGATAGGTTTTCCGTCGCCGACATTCTCCCCCTCGTGCTTTGCACCAACTCCTGGACTCGGCGACGCTCCCGGCACCAACAGCACCACTCTCGAACTGGGCCTCCGTAGAACACCTCCTCTGGTCTCGACGTCGACGACTCTGGTCCGCCCGTCTGGTCCAGGATACACATGCAGGATTCTTCCGCGTGGCCAGATGCATCTTGGTAGGCTGTGATCGACGATCAGTACGATGTCTCCGACTTGCAAATCTGTGGCGCTGACTCTTCCTTTGGTCTTCCTTGGTAGTAGAGTGGGCAAATACTCTCTCAGCCAACGTTGCCAGAAGTGATCGGCAAGTCGCTGCGTAGCCTTCCAGGTGTGTCTGCCCACAAGCTCGTTGTCCTCGAAGCTGCCGATTCTTGCTGCGCCACATGATCGCCCGATGAGAAAGTGGTTCGGTGTAAGTGCTTCTTCTTCAGGGTTCTCGGAGAGGTGGGTGAGGGGCCGAGAGTTGACTATGTGCTCGGCCTCTAACAGGAGGGTATGAAGTACCTCCTCTCGTGGTTGCCTTTCGTTGAGCGTGGCGTCCAGTGCGGTTTTAATGGATCGCACCAGACGCTCCCATGCACCTCCCATGTTTGGTGCACCAGGAGGTATGAACTTCCACTGCACACCGATCTTCTCCGCTTCCGAGATAAGGTCTTCTTGCTTCATGGTGTCTAGTGCTTCTTTGAGTTCTTTGTTGGCGCCAACGAAGTTAGTGCCATTGTCGGTGTAGATTATCTTTGGCATTCCCCTTCTCGCGGCGAATCGTCGTAGTGCCATGATCATGCTGTCAGTGGAGAGTGAAGGAGTGAGCTCAATGTGTACAGCTCGTGTTGTTAAGCATGTGAATAGAGCACCCCATCTCTTCTCATGGCGTCTTGCTACGGTGATCGTCATAGGGCCGAAGTAATCTATTCCCGTGCACGTAAATGGAGGGTTTCCGTGCATCAGCCTCTCAGCAGGTAAGTTGCCCACTGGTAGTTCTTGAGGTCTTGCCTTTCTTGTTTTGCACCACTGGCATTGATGTTGAATGGTCTTGATCGCTGACCTCAGTCCTAGCACCCAGAAGCGTTGTCTTACTTCGTTCATTACGGTCGCGTGATTCCCGTGATTGAAGCGGCAGTGAAATTCTTCTATGATGAGAAGTGTTGTCTTGTCCTTGCTGTCGAGTACGATGGGTCGTTTGTAGTCTCTGGTAACCCCTCGTATCGCGTCGATTCTTCCTTTCAGTCGCAGGAGACCTTCTTCTAACACTACGTCGAGCCTTTTCAACTTGCTGCTGCCCTCTAATTGTTTTCCTTGCTGTAGGCACCTGATGTCCTCTTTGAAGCATTTCTCTTGACTTCTTCTTAACAACAGCGTTTCAGCTTGCTCTAGTAGACTTGTTTCCAATGGTATGTATTTCCTTTCTGACGTTTTTGAAGACAGATGTCGCTTCTCAACAATTTTCTTATTCCTTTTTGTAGTTTTCCAGGTAGGATCTTTTTGCTGGCGTGGACCTTTTCCTTTCTTCTGCAGAGTTGTATGAACTGCAGTACTCTTGCTGTAGCTCGCCAAAGTCTTTTCCACGACGAGAACTTTTCGGGATCTGGTGATGGATAGGAGCTGCCTGCAGTCGCTACGATGTCCGCTGCCTTTTCTTCGCCAGTGGTTTCTTTCTTGAATGTTCTTGCCGCAGGCCAGTGAACTTCATCTCTTCTTAGAAACCCTGGTCCGGTGTACCATCGGTGTTGGCAGTCGAAGTGTTCTGGTACGTCACGTGTTGCATCATCTGCAGGGTTCTGCGCCGTCGGTACCCATCTCCAGTCCTGTGGTTTTGTGAGATCTTCTATCTCCGCCAAGCGATGAGCCACGAATGTCTTGAAGGTTCTCGGGTCCGTCTTGATCCATGATAGCACGATACTGGAGTCTGTCCAAAACGTCTTCTTTTCTATTTTCAGATCCATTTCTTCCTCGACCGAGTGTGCCAATCTGCTTCCTAGGAGGGCCGCTTGCAGCTCGAGTCTCGGGATTGACACCGGCTTCAACGGAGCGACTCTTACTTTTGCTGCTACTAAGCTGACGTCATAAGTCCCATTTTGATTTTCAGTTCTCCAATATACCGTAGCTGCATACGCCATTTCGCTTGCATCCGTGAACGTGTGCAGCTCCCCCTCGGTGCGACGTGGTGCCAGACATCTCGGGATCTGAAGGTCTTGGAGCAGCTTCATCTTCTCCAGGTAAGTCTTCCATGACTCGTACTCCTTTTCTTCTATCTCTTCATCCCAACCGACGCCACTTCGCCATATGTTCTGGAGCAGCCTTTTGCCTTGGATGAGAATTGGTGATGCTAGCCCTAGTGGATCGAAGGTCGACATCACGGCGCTGGTGACTTCTCTCTTCGTAGGTACCTTGAGTCCTTGTGCCACTTCATCTGGCGTGTTCCGAAGGTTCGCCCTAAAGCCTATGGAGTCCCTTTCTGTAAACCAGCGTAGTCCCAGTGTCTTCTCTTCCTTCTCACCAAGGTCCACCTCTGTCTTCTCAACTGACTCAGTCTTCACGTCTTGCAGCAGGTCGGAGTGGTTTGACGCCCATCCTCGGAGTTCGAAGCCCGCCTTTTTGTGAATGAAGTCCACCTGCGCTGTAATTCTTTTGAAGTCCTCTTCTGAATGGAAGCTGTGCAGGTAGTCATCCATGTAATGGTTCAGCTCGATTGCCTTTGCTGCCTCTGGGTACTGCTTCTTGTAGTCCGCCGCGTTCCGGTTCTTCACGTAGATCGCTGTGCTAGGAGATGATGTCGCGCCGAAGATGACTGATGTCATTCTGTACTCCTTCGGTGCTACGTCACGACGATCCCCTCGCCACAGGAACTTCAAGCTGTTTCTATCTTCTGGCCGGATGCGAACTTGCAGGAACATTTCCTTTATGTCGGCTGCCACTGCAAACGGGCCTTGCCGGAACCTCAGTAATACCCCGAAGAGCGATTGCAGTAGGTCTGGTCCCGGTAGTAAAGCGTCGTTGAGGCTTGTCCCTTTAGACTTGGCTGCAGCGTCGAAGACGATCCTTATTTTCTTCTTCAATGGATGTACCACGGAGAAATGAGGGAGGTACCATGTCTTCTTTGAATCTTCTTGTCCACCAGGTGCTTCTTCTGCATACTTGCTGTCGATTAGATGCTGGATCTGCTTATTGTATTCTGCCTTCAGCTGAGGGTCTTTGTCTATCTTCTTTTCAATGTTGAACAATCGGTTCTTGGCAGACGTGTAGCTTTCAGGCATCTGTTCATCTTCATTTTTCCATAGAAGTCCAGCTTCAAATCGACCATCTTCTAGTCTTCTGCAGGTCTTCTCTAGGATGGTGAGTGCTCTTCCTTCTGAATCCGTAGTGGGTCTTCTTGGTAGTACTCCAAGTGCTTCGATTGCGAAGTGATCCTTGATGGCTTGATGCATCTCTTCTTCTGGCGTGCTGACATGTAGACACGTGTTTAAGAAGTGCACCACTTTCGCGCCTCCAGTGTCTGACCCGTGGAGCACCCATCCAAGTCCTGTTCTTGAAGCGACTGGTTGTCCTGGTTTCCCTCTTCTTACTTCTTGAGTCGCGATTAGCTCCCAGTTGTCTTGACCGATGAGCAGCTGTGGTGACTCCCCCTTATAATATAGAGAGTCAGCAATCTTCTTCAAGTGTTGACACTCTTCTATCCTTTTCTTTTCTAGGAACTGCGGTGCAAGCTTCAACTCGTCGATGGTCCGGACTCTTCTCAAGGTCTTCTTGGTCTTCTGATGAATCCCCTTCACCGTAAGGTCCAGCATCTGAGAGTCTTCCTTCCTTATCAGCCTGCCTCCAACAGTCTCGATGACCAGTTCCTCCTTTCTTCCTTGAGCGCCCATTTCTTCTGCTACCTTCTGGTCTAGCAGCGACACTGTTGACCCTTCATCCATGAGGGCCAATATCTTCTTTGATCCTTTTGACCCGAAGATTTCTATCGGAATTATCTTCAGGTATGCCCTTGCGTTGTTGACCGCATTCACCGATGCCATGATGCTCGCCACTTCTTGTGGTTTGTTCTTCTGTTCTTCCGAGGAACTTTTCTCTGTCTCGACGTGCAGCAGATGATGATGCCACCTCTTGCATTCCTTGCACGACGGCTTCTTGCAGCTCTCCTTCCGATGTGTCCCTTGTAAACACTTGAAGCAAACGCGGCTTTTCTTCACTATTGCCCATCGATCTTGCACAGACGCCTTCAGGAACTTCTGACACCCGACGAGGAAGTGTTCACCCTCACACATGGGGCAAGTCTTCTCTGATCTTGAAACCTTTTCTTTGAAGTCCTTTTCCTTAGTTGAATGCGTTGCTTGTCGATGAGTCCGTCTGAACCCGCTCTTCTCTTCTGTTGATGCATAGGCTCCACACTTGTCTGCTTCTCTGTTCAGGAACTTGGACACCAGTGTTAGGTCGGAGAACTCGCCTTCTTCTGTTGTTTCAATGAAGTCGTACCATCGGAACTTGAGGATCGTAGGCATCTTCTCAATAATTTGTTTCACCATCTCAGGTGAATGCAGGTACTGTGGTTTCTTCAATCCTTTTATTGCCGCTACGCTGTTGCTGATCTGGCTCGCGAAGAGGCATATGTCCCTTGGGTTTTCAGAAATCTTCGGCAACGTTTTGACCTTGTCCAACTCTGCCAGCACCAGTGCATCTGGTCTTCCATATCTTCTTCTGAGGGCTTGAATCACTTCCATCGGAGAGGCTTCGGAGTACAGCAGACTCTTGATAGCTTCTCTTGCGTTGCCCTTCAGTGCTCTTCTTAGCCGAGCCATATTCTGGACGCTGTTGAACATCGGTGCTGTATCTTCATAGACAACCTTGAAGGCCATCCACTCGCTGCTGTTGCCGTCGAAGTAGGGTAACTCGTGAATGTAGGTTGGCTGTCCTGCTGGTCCTCGCGTGGTAAGAGCTTCCTTCAATGCTGCCGTCAGTGCTTGAATTTCAATCGTAGCTCCTCTCGTTGAGAAGTTCTCTTCAGGCTTCATCTTCTGTGGCTCTTCCAAGGGGTGTGGACCTCGCATCTCTGGTTGAACTTTGTTGCCATCCTCCAGCACAGACGTCTCGATCCAGTTCTGCACCTGTGCTGTTCTGTCTTCCAGGTCTTCATCCACGGAGTCCTCTTCTTCACACTGTGCCATCTCCAATCTGACACGGGCTAGCTTAGTTTCAGCCTGTGCTTGCTTCAACTCCAGGCGTGCCAACTCTTCCTTTGCTTCTAGCTCGCGTCTTCTGGCCGAGGAACTCGTGGTCTTCGTGGACCTGGCGCGACGACTGACCCCCATCGGTTTCAGGGTCTTGGAGGAGCCTTGAACATCCTTTCCAGGTACATCTTCTTGGCTCTTCCTGGTCATCCTCTGTGCAGCATCTTCTTTGTTGCCTTCCATAGACGCCGCCGTAGTTGCAGTCGTAACCGTAGTCTCCGTCACTGTGGTGCCCTCCGTGGTCGTGGTACCCGAAGAAGTGTTCGATGTAGTTGCAGTTCCCGATGACGCCGACGCTGACGTGACCCCTTCTGATCCCGACGTTCCATCTGTCGCGTCCCTATCTGAAGGACGGGACCCGGGACGTGAGGGGGCATCCTTCTGCGACCTGGTTACCGGCATCTTGAACGCAATCTTCTGTTTCTTCTGAACTTCTTCTAGCAGGGATCCGGCTCGAAGGACCAACTGTTTCGGACGACCAGAACCAGGGTATGTCTAGTACCCGGAGGTCGACCTGGGACAATCTCCCAGACGTTCTTGGCGTACACGGCAGTATGTCCGTTCGCTGGTAATGTACGCCACCACGCACCCCTGAATGCGTAGCTTGGGTCCCGATCCACTAGGGTTTCTTCGTTGACAGGAGACTATACTTAGAGGCGATGAAATAGAACACAATTTTTCCTTTTTTCTCTCTTGGTTTCGGTTCTTCCTTTTCCTTTTAGTTGTTGCCTCTTCGGTGGCTGTCTTGCGACTGACTCGAATCGAGAAATGGCTCGCCTTTTATTTGGCCCGTTAATACCTTACAGAGAGCCGCGTACTTTGAGCTCATTTTTCGAATAAAATTTCCCTAAACCGAAACCTTGAGAGTCCTTTTATTTTATGTTTTCAGTAAAACACCTTACACATATTTATTTATTTACATGCCTTACATACTATTATACAATATTAAAACATAATATTCAATATATAATAATTAATTAAAAAAGTCTTAAAACAAAAATATCTAAATTTCTAGGTTGCTACATTTTTACTATACATTTTCCCTTATAACTTTTGAACGGATAGTCCTATCGACCTAATTCTTGTTTTATTATAAGTTTTATAATAAAATCTATTATTTAAAACATAAACTATTATGCTATTGCAAGAAACAAAAAATCTCATTTTCAAATTACGTAATTATATGCTAACATTTTACTTACGTACCTATTCCTTTCAAATTAATGTTAAATAGTCTTATATGATTCAAATAAGCAAAAAATACTCTAAACTAACCTTATTACACTAATTAGAACTTATTTTAACATAATAAATCTAATAAGAATGAGATTTCATATTTACAACAATTATTCATAATACGCTAAAATGACATTGTCCCTATATTAATACACACGTTACTCGAAGATAGGTTTTCCGTCGCCGACAATTACATCAGTATAACAGAGGCTAAATCTACAGTTTTTAGAATTTTTGTCTGTCTTTCTGTCTGTCTGTCTGTGACCACATCACGACAAAACCACTGGACAGATTTTGATGAAATTTGGTATGATGATAGATTTTTATCCAGGTCAACATATACGACACTTTTTACTGCGGAAAAAGGTCTCATCTCTAAGAAATCTGTACTAAACGTTAAAACGAACTAGGGACGAGCCCAAGCGAAAATAATAAAAGTAATTTATTATAAAAGTATTTTATTATTTTCGCTTGGGCTTATTATATTTATATATTATTGGGCTTAATATATATATTATATTATTACTAATGAAATTAATTTTAATAGTCTAACGTAATTCAAGCTGTGATTGGCTTGAAGACACGCTTGGCTCAGTTTGTAGTGACCCTACTTGGTGTGCCAGCGGTCACGGGTTCAAGTCCCGCTGGGGGCATTCATTTGTGTGATGAGCACGAATGATTGTACTCCATTCATGGGTGTTGTTTATATTTATAATATGTATGTATTTAAAGTTATATATGTGTAATGTATCAACTATCTGGTATCCATAACACAAGCTTCGTAGCTTACCATGGAACTAAATGGTGCTGTGTGAATGTCCCAACATATTTATTTATTAATTTGTGATAATTGATCTTATAACAAGATTAGGTAGCTCATAAGCATAAATGTAGTTAAATACCATTAAAAACTAAAATACATGAGATATATATTTTACAATATACTTATCATAAATTAGTTATGATATCTACTATTATAACAACTTAAGGCTCTACCTTACGGAGCCATATAGACCTAAAGAAACAGCTTCTGTTCTTTTAAATTAATTATAAATAACAGGTTATCGATTATCTATATTGGTGGTATAATTGTAGATTAAATAATAATAGAATTAAAAACCATACAACCCAACAACTATATTGAAGGATAGACAAACATACAGGCAGGTCATGAACGAATAGCTTATTCGTTCATGAGGCAGGTGTAGTCGATGGCAACAACTTATATATTACATTCCGCTTATCTATACTAATATTATAATACTGCGAAAGTTTGTGAGGATATATGGATGGATGTCTGGATGTATAGATGTATGGATGTTTGTTACTCTATCAGGCAAAAATTACTGAATGGATTTTAATGAAACTTTACCATAACTCATACATCAGAATAACACATAGACTACTTTATATCCCGAAAAAATATAATAATAAATTTATCCAAGTCACAATTATTTGTTTTTTGTTATTTATTAACGAGTAAGCTATTCATTAAAATATAAGCTTCTAAAAAAATGTAGGCACAAAAATCAGATTGTAATTGGTGAATAGGGTAACATACACACAAACACATACACCCGCATTGAGTATTTTCCCTTTTCCAGTATGCAAGTCGTTTAAAAAGCATATCGCTTACAATACCTATAAAAATAGTATTTAAAAGAGTCCAGTTCCTTTAAAAACCGCGGGTAAATCCACCGAGCGCCACATAAAAAAACGATTTCACCCCCCGATAAAGAACTCGCCTTTTAGGGGAGTTTTTACATGATACCTTGCTTCTGGGAATTGTTTATGTTGATTTTGAAACAATAATTAACCGCTAAGGGTAGCTTAAAAAGGTGTATTATTAGATTAATTAGGATTACAAATTTGACTTTTTTGACGATTTTGCGAATTTGTTAAAAAACTGTATTTTTTATTACTGAGGTAGTGACTTATAGGTGTAAATAAATAAACGTGTTGAGACTTTAATACACAGCATCATCTAGATCCCTGGTAAGTTACAAGGCTGATACCAGATAGTTGATACACTGCACGTATGTAACTTTAAATACATACATATTATAAATATAAACACCCATTTATGTGTGAGATGAACACGAAAAAATTGCTCATCTCACACATAAATGCCCCCAGCGCGACTCCAACCCGCGACCCTTGGCACAGCAAGTAAGGTCAATACAAACTGAGCCAAATGTGTCGTCTAAAGGTATGCCACATTATTACACCTAATTAATTTAGGTTATATCGTCTCTAAAATGACTGAACATTTCAATAATAAACGAATTAAGGTTGAATGATATGATTACTAAATTATTAATATGAAAAAAAAAGAAAAATGGTTTCAGACCCCACTTAGATTCCGTCACTAAATGATTTACTGAACTGGTAATAGAGTAAATGCAGGCAGTCTTTAAAAATATTTACAATACATTCTTATTGATTTTAGAAATAAATACTTTATAATAACCAGTTATAATGTGACATAATTCAAAAGCGAAAGAGCAATTAATACCTAGGTACTTTTAAATTTTATTAATTATTAATGAAAAATGTACAATATGTAGGTATATGTAAATATTTTAATATTTATTTACTAAATCAAAGAGTAAGGAGTTAGCTTAAATATATTTTTATAATTCAATTCCATTCAATTTTGTTATTAATATCTTTAAAGCGTGCCTGTTGAGCACAGATTACTTCGCCAATGTCACGTAGAATGGAGAAGACATGGAGATTGGTCGGTAAAATAAGATTATTAAAGTCTTTTTATAATATATGCTCATAATAATTGTAATGATGTACAAGAATTCTTAATATAGTAAAAGATAGTTATTATATTAAGTAATTAAAAAAAATCCATCCACGATCTATCGATCGATCCACAAAATTAACATTATTTTGTAAGTTTTTAATTACTGCAAATAATAGTATACAAAACTTTAGTAAGATTTTTAGTCTATCGCAAAAGGACAAAAAAATTGATACTATTTTTTAAATATGGTCTAGAATTATAATTTTGTAATAATAGTCTCATAATTTGGTACTTCTATTTTTATATATACATGTTTTTATTTTATTCTAATAAGAATTTTATCTTAAAGCATTTTCTATTCGGCAATAGATGGCGCTAGAAGCAATAGATGGCTAATATTTGAAAGAATTGGATATTTTGTTTTTATTATATTTTAATTTACTTTATTAATAAAATAATGAATTACAAATATTAATAAAAACTTTAAAAATATTAAGCTTTGTAAATTATATATTAAATTTATAAACTGTAAAGCTATCTACTTCCCGATGGATGTCACTGTACGTAATAGTAGTTCTGAACAATTACGACAATGGCGCTTTATAGTTCATATTTGCATTATTATAAAATATGTTAATTTCTTGTAATATAAATAGATATCAATTAAAAAAGACAAAAAGCATTAAAATAAAACTATTTATACCATCTTTAGCACTATAGGAAATGATAACAAATATTTTAAATAAAGTTTAAGGTTTAAATATCTACATCTTATAGGGTAAATAAATAAAGGTGTTTTGTTAATTCATGGTTAAGCTTTTTTTACATGGTAAAAAGCGATAGATTATAGTTTATAAATTTTTCTTCCATATAAATAGTTAAAGGCTTCAAGAAAATTTAAGCTACCTTTTTTTCTGGTACATGTATTGTTTCCGTAGAAAAATTGATTATATAGTATAAAATAAACTTCAATTTTTCGTTATTGAATACACAAGCTTTACATTTCCCACGTAGAATCACATTTTTTGAATAAACCCACATACGTCCATTTATCTGCAAAAACAAAGCAAAAGACTCACCCTACCCATCTCACTTACAAGCCAATGAAGCGAGCAAATAAGCGAAAAATCCGCTTGACTGTGGAAAAAAGAGATAAATTGAAAAGCGTAAAGGAAAAAAACGGTGAAATATGCGCCATCCAATGATGTTCGGCCGAGGCGCGCAATTATTGAAGGTCGTGAAAAAAATCTGGCAAGCTTGAATATGTTTTCTAAATAGAATTCTGTATAAAATAAAACTTGTTGTTTTGTTTTCTTATTAGAGACTTTAGTAATAGGTTAAAAATTTAATACTTTTAATACAATAAAGTTAATACCTTTATTATAATGAAATTATTTTATAATTTTGCTTA